CCACGACAGGCACCGACAACCTTGCGCCCGCAGCTCAGATAAGCCGCCTCGACAATATTGATCATCACTCCCTTATAGACGAGATACAGCCTCTCTTAATGACTCTTGGCTGACATCAAAATAAAACCTCTGAAAACACAAATAAATGAACTAAAATAAAACCTCTGAGACACAAATAACAGCTATTCTGCAAATCAGCTATTTGTTCTATTACTATACAATGTAGTGTGAGAAAAGTATTGATGTAGGAATTATTTTTCAGTCAGTAGTCTTCATTGCTTTTACTGACTAGGCAATATTTGCTTCATCCTAAACACAGATGAAATGACATGGAATGCAAACCTTGACTCTGCAGTAGAGCGCAGTCAGGATGATGCCGTACAGGAAAAGAATGCCAAGCAGCACGTAACACATCTGGGGCACATAACAGATCTCCGGCTCTGTGAAAACAGCTGGATGATAGGGGGAAAAAAATAGAGAATTAAGAAGAGAAGGCAAACTGGGTACAAAGAACCATATCTCCTTGATGATCTTAGTGTGTGGAGCCATTTACAGATTATTTTTAGACAATGGTGTTTTAACCATTGCAGACTGTAAAACATGTTGCAGTGGCCAGTATAATGGTGAAGGACAATAAAGGAGGCTGGGTTGAATATATAAATCTGATAGAAACAGAGCCTCAATAAAAAAAAAAAAATGGTTCCTTTTATTATGCACGAGTCAGGCAAGATATTATTGCTTCCACATGTTTTGGCTCCTTTGGACTGTGGTGACATTTTACATATGAAATGTTCACACAGTTCTCCAAGAATATGAAAGGGCTATTGTAATAAATATACCTTACAAATACTTGATATGAACGTTTAGTGAGTACTCATAATGCACAAAAACATTTTAAACTGCTGGGCTTTGGAAAAGCTTCATGCCACACCATGCAGAACAGATTCTTTTCATGTATAGCCCTAAGAGGGTGAACCTATTAGCAGACAACTTTGGACCAGCAGATTTAGAAATCCTGGAGTTACTTATAAAGTAAAGACCACAATCACCCCACCAGATTAAATCCTACATCAGAGAACAACAAATATATTTCTATTCAGGTTAGAGAGTGGCAAAGCTAGGGAGGCTTTAAAACAGCTAGGGGGCACTGGATCCCTCCAGAAATCTGTCTTGAAGTAAACACATCTGTTGGGTTTATTCAATGATGATTATAAAATTAATGTGTGTTCATATGAAACATTGTAGAAATGAGATGCTTCACCCCAGGCTCACACCGACTCTGGTCTTACCGTTGCGGTGCGGGGGGTGCGGCGCCGCAGTGA